TTTGACTAAGAGAACATGGCGGATATCCTACAGCATCAAACGTTATACGAGACCGGAATCATTCGCTTACGATGAAACTAAGTTGACTTTTATTTGTATTTCATAACCATTCAACAAATTTATTTTGTGTACATTATTATAATCACTACTGAGTACAGTAATAATCAACAAATCAGAAACGCAGCATGCCGAGATTTTTGTGTTCGTTTTTATTTGAAACTTCGTTTATTTAGAATATATTTTCGTTACCAATAAAATAAAAATCTCTCAGTCAATCAGAAACCCGGATTCATGCCTTTGAGGAAGGTCCCGTTTGAACGCTCACATCGGTTTTTTTTTCGTTTGGGGGAAAACTAAAACTGGTCGCAATTTTCGAATAAGAATGAGTCGGCAATTTTTAGTGGAGTCGAAAATTTGGAGGTGAATAAAACACCGAAACCCGGCAAATAAATAGGCGGTCAAATTTTTAGAGGGGTCGAAATTTTGGAGTTTTCGCGGTGTTAATTATTCCATTTCAATGAAACTTAGTACAAAGATGCTCTAGGACAATGTACAAACCTAATTAGTTTGGGGTAAAAATCTGTTCATATTAATTCCCTAATAAGCATAATAATTCATAATTTTTTGGTTCTGTTACATTGCGCAGACCTCATTAGTTTTACACTCAAATCTGGTCATATTAATTTTCTGATTTGCATAATTAGTTTTCAGCTAAGTAATTTCGAATTATATTTAATGTGTCTCCAATACTCTCAGCACATGGGAGTTCTTTCTAAGCTTTCTTTGATTATTTATTGTTATGATCTATTAATTGTAAGTGATTTATCTTATCTTAATCGTTTAAAATGAAGACTAATTATTTCATTCAATGTAATTGTTCACAGAAGGAGAAAATACTCGTACTCATCTTCTGATAGTTCAAGATCACGCTCAAGGTCACCGAAGAGGAGAGCCAAATCAGTTTCGCCAAGGCGAAAAAGTTCTAAAGGTTCAGGAAGTCCCGAAAAAAAAGCTAAAGATGTGAAAGCTCCATCCTCGTCACCTCCGCCTGCACATTATAAACAAAAATTGAATGATCCTAAGGTATGAGTTGCAAGATTTTATTACTGTGGCTGGCAATGTTTCATGCACCTAGCCTGCGATACAGTCAGTTGATGACAATACAGCCGTGTTGCTTTCAGGAAGCCAGTAGATCGTTAACAAATTTGGAGGCAACTGTGCTTGCAACACAGCTGTATTTTCAGCCAATTAGCTGTTGGTATATAGCTGGCTAGGTGCATGTAACAAATTTGTGGCTTCAGTATCTGTTTGCTGCATATCATTTTGTCTTTCGAATCAAATTCAAAATGGCCTGCTGGGAACAATTAACTAATGCTGTTCCAGAACCACATCAGACGTTCATTATCATCATTTACATACATCATGTCAAATAATATGCAGATGCATTGGTTTGACCATTGGTCTGTTTCAAGATGGCTGAATGACAGCAATTTGAAATGTTGATAATCCATCAAAATTAAGCATTTTTGCCTGTTTTAAAATCTTGAACATTTTGCATTCCTGCTTGCTGTTAGTCATATCACTGATATGCCTTGGCTGATTACAAATCAAACTTTACAACTACGTTTTACATCATGTAACCCATATTGACATGCATTTATTTTTTTAAGATCTGTTTCAAAATGGCTCATTTCACCTATGTTTCCATGACATGTCTTGTTTCATTTTATTTCTAGAAGAAAGATGGTGATGGAAAGGACAGCTCTTCTTCGTCTTCCTCAGATGAAGATGAAAAGAAACAACCTCATTTAGTCAAAAGTACGAAGAAGTCTCCCCCGAAAACAAGCAGGTACCCCCAACGACATTACAGGAAACACTCAGAGACATCAAGTTCAGGTTCAGATGATGAAACCACGAAGACTAAATCAAGAAAACGACGAGATTCGTCATCAGATAGCAGGTCTCCGTCACCCATGCCGAGAAAGAAAAGAAGAAGCTTCACTCCAGAAAGATACAGGTATTAACTTATCAGAGACTCGAGAATATTACGGCTTCTGTGGCGTAAGGTCATAAGGGGGAAAGCGGTATGGTGTATTCTATGTATGATCAAGGGCAGCAAAAGCCAAATCCAGTTCAAAAATGTTTTGTCGTATATCTCGTAAGTCACAGACTAATCAATCTCAAAATTAATTGTTTTGAGATGGGTCAATATTTCTCTATTTAGGTTCAACCAAGTTCTGGTTCAAGTAGATAATTGAAAAAATTGATATCTTGTATTGAATACTTAATTTTGTTTTTCTCCTCCCAGGCCTCGTAGATACTCTCGTTCTCCATCCCCAAGACGAAGGCGATACTCATCACCAAGGCGATATTCTCCACCTCCAAGACCACCACCACCTAGACATTATGATTCGTATTATAGGTATCAACCACGGAGACGCTTTTCACCCAGATCCCCATCTCCAGACAGAAGGCGGCGTAGAAGTCCAAGTCCAAGGAGGCGTAGCCCTGTGATAGATAGGCGTAGAGGTAGTCCGGCAGGCGGTAGGTTCCGAAGCCGTACACCAGAAAAGCGACAACGTAGCCGTTCTCTGGATAGATTTCACAACAAAAAGAAACCTAAAACTCGTACTGAAAAAGCCCGTAGCCCTTCTTATAGCAGCAGCTCTTCAGAAAGTCAGAGTCCTTCACCTGTGAAAAAGAAAGTTGTAAAAAATGAAAAGGACAGTCGTTCTCCAGACAGGAAAAAATCTCACACTGAGAAAAATCGTAACCCCCCTTCTCCCAGGCGGAGAAGCAACTCTAGTCCCTCGCCTGTTAAAAAACATAGAAGTCAAAGTCCTCGGAGAAAACATCAGAGTGTCAGCCCGGATAGAAAGCAAAGATACAGCTCATCACCGTCGCCTGAGAAAAATCTGCCTGTTTCTACTTCACGAAAAGAACGTCCAAAATCTTCGCCAGAGAGGCAAGTTCGGTCAGTCACACCAGAGCGTAAAAAGCACAGAGCAGCCACACCCACACCGGAAAAAATTAAAAAGGAAGTGGAAGACAAAGAAGCCCACAGAAGTAGTAAAATATCGAGGTCCAGGTCAAGTTCTGAGAGTCCTCCACCTGTAAAAGTGAAAAAAGAAAAAATTAGATCGAAGAGTGCATCCCCTGAGGTAAGTAAATTTTCTTCAGCTAACAGACAATAACAAATTTGTTCTCGTTTTCAGTTTGAAAAAAAATAAGAAAAACTAAAATATTAGTGATAGAGGAACTGTATCTACACTATAATAACCATATTAGCACTAATAGAAGCCCACATAAACCGAAAATTGCACTTGATTTGACAAGATTCAGAGTTAAAATGCATCTTAATTAGACCATGGACACATTTCTATCATCAGTATTACTAATTAGCAAATATGGTAGTAATAAAATTACCATTTTATGAATTTTTTCCAAAGTGCCTTTCTTAGCAGTTGAATATGTGTTTAATGTCACCTGTCTATAGCGACTACAGCAGTCCCACTCAAATGACCCTGTATAGTGTGACCAGGTGTGTTAGTGAAGTGGTTGATTAAACTGCCTCTATCGTCTGGCTTTACAGATGTCACAACACCAGTACGGTTCAGAGAATGGGGCAAAAACAAAATTTAGGATAATAATGATTAGAAGGAAATAAACACATCACTGGAAAAAAAATTGTATGTTGGTACACAAACCCATACTCAAATCCCTCCAATAGTAAACACTGGTATAAAAAAGTTGTTTCTTTTACAAAACTGAATACTGTAAAACCATTAATTTTCTCTGGCATTTGATTCCACTATTTTGATGTTTTGAGCCTTTTCACTTTTCACGAATTTGGCAGCGAAACTTACAAACAAAAACAGCAAAATTAAATCCTGGTAAATAATTAAAGCCTTTACAGTATTTATTTCAGGTAACATTTAATTTTGAAAATAATGTATGTGTGATAGTACAAGCATTTTTAGAGATGGACATTACACTGATTAATATTCATGATTATCACACAATAAAGCACCTTTTTTTGCAAATGAATATATTTCAAAGCCTTAAAATTTAACAAAATTTGTTTAATTAAGATGATGAATCGTACACAGCATCATAATCGATTCTAAGAAGGGTATATACGCGCATTGCCTCGCACATTACCATGCCATAGACTCCCCATCTCATCCAATATGGCACTGTGGAGTGGGGGGTTCATTGTTTAAATAATTAGCGCGCTGTATATAGGTTTGACACAACTTGGAATGATCACTGTTTGTAACCGCATCTCTGAAACTATTTTCCAGTGCTCTGAAGTGGAGAATAAGAAAAAGGACAAGAAAAAGCATAAAAAGCACAAGAAACACAAGAAGCATAAGAAACACAAGAAGAAGAAAGAACAGGATGAAGAGGTGGGTTAGCAATGGTATGGAAAAGGGGGAATTTTTTTTTTTAGATCTTTTAAAAGTTGCTGCTTTGATAATCTTCTTAATTACAATCACTTGGTGATCTCATTATTTTCTTCAACGTGTGACATGGTTTCTTGTGAACAAAGATGATAAAGTCCTGTACAATAAGTCGTGCCGTGCCTTCTCGTGATGAGCTGAATATGTGATGTCATACAAAGTGTATGCAAATGTAATTCAAAGTGGCAATTATGTTTTGTTGCATATTCATTAGTCATTTAGAATATAGTCAATCACAAATATTTTAAAATACAATATTAATGCCTTCCTGCGAGTTGTTGCAAGTCAATGAAATTGCAAAATTTTGTAGCAGTGAAAAATTTCTGTCAGCTTATATGACACTGTTCATGATATTTTGTGGTTTTTAAGAAAGCTATAAAATCCTTGAATCATGAAAGTTTGGAGCAAAGAAAATTAAACCCTATAATCGTCTAATTCAGTGTGTCGTCTTCACAATGAATGCTTGCATGACGTAATTCAATTATAATGATCTATTTGTTTGTGTTTGTAGGTAATTGACAGTGAAGATGGGGATGCTAACTTGGATGAACTGGAGAAGGCTTTAAGAGAGAAGGCACTGCAATCAATGAACAAAGCGCAGAGTTCCACCAAATGAAGAATTTTTTATATCGTTGTATATTGCTCCAGGACATCTCCCAAATTGGACGACTGATACTTGTTAATACTGTAAAGGGGGTAATTATTCACTGGGTTTTAATTTAGCTTATTTCGCTGACTGGAAAAATGCGCTAAATTAAAACCCAGTGAATATGTAAAATTTAGCATAGAACACATTATCTAAATGACGAAACCGTGAATTTAAAACCCACTGAATATGCCTGAAATGGTAAATCAGTGAAATTTAAACCCAGTGAAAATTAGTCATTTTACAGTATTGCAACTCTTCTCAAATATCAATTCCAGATGCTTGAAACTTTGGTGGTGGTTGATCACTGAAAGTTTTATATTTTTAAAAAAAGTAAATGTTAATACTGGTGTGTATCCATGCTCCAAGGCAAGTAGAAATTGATTGGAATATATGAGCACTAATCGTAATGTATAATACCTTCAGAGCAGAGAATATTTCCTGGTTCACTTTTATATTCTTCTGTCTTTCAGTTTCACAATGTGCATGTCTGTTATTTCTGTATGCTGTGAGTTGGCTGCTGTTTTTCTTTATTTTTCACTTGCGTGACAGTAAGAGTACAATCTGTTTCATATTCAGAGTGGAAGGGAGGGGGCGGGATAAATGACAAGACATTTGTGTTATTGTTCTTTTACTCAGTGTGTCACATTGACATTTTTCTATTGCTGGTATTCACTGATCTATTTAGTGTTCAACAGGAATTCTTTACACTGATGTTTAAATTTGAAAAAAAAAAAAGTTTTTGTTACCACAGATATTAAATTGTGTGAATATTTTTTGAATAACTGCTGCCCAGCCTCTCTGTATATTATTATATTATAAGCAGAATACATTTTTGTTTTCTATAAAGCAGGTGTAAATAACCAGCAAGTCACTTCTGGTGTTTAGAAATATCTTTATAAAAACTATTTTACTCGATTTCTGTTCTGTCAAAATGTTTACTTGTTAAATTCATGACTATTGACTGGAATTGCTCCATCAGTTTAGAAATTGAGACGATTACCCATTCATATGAAACTACTGACTGAATATTATATTCCTCTTATAGTGGGGACAGTGCACTCAAATGTTTATTATGCTTGAATTTTTGTCAACACTTATAAATTGTTGCTTGTATTTTCTTACATTTTTGTGAGACAGTTTTATCTTGTGAGAGTAAAAAAAACCTGGGACAAAAAAAAATGAAATCGAGAAGCAAAGTTTAACATTATGTGTCTGGTGAGAACACTGAACGACTGTAGGGACCACTTGTCATACAAAGCTCCTGTTTCTGATTGTTGTACGATCTAACAGTCGAACTCTTGCAATGTGTGCACACCAATGTGGCTGCGTTGTTTTCTGCTTTAACTTTTCACAGTAGAATCATAGGAAATTAGAAAGTGAGACGAACTATATCCTCTCGTATCAAATTTCAACCATTACAAATGGCTAAGGGCTGATGTACTCTCAGCAGTAGTACCAAAAATGTTTATTTGTATGTGAAACTTTGAAGATGCCTCAAAATGGCTTCCACAATCTTCACTAAATGTGTGAACCTAGAAATTTGTGCATTAACAAGCAAGGGGAATACATTTTAGGTTGGTGTAATTTAATACATGATAAACTGAACCACTGACATTACTTACAATGTTTCAATTAACCACTAATGTTGAATGATGCAGTTATGACGACGCTGTCCCATAGAAAAAGATGGTAGAAGCCACATCCCTAATAGAAGTCGCACCCATTCTTTTTGAACAATTGAAAACCAAAAAATCATTTCTCGTATGTGTAGATGTTCTATTAAAAAAAAAAAAGCAGCGTCCCCTCTGTTGCATTGTACCATTTCAATAAAAGTCGCAGCTTCTAATATAGATTTTACAGTATTAGCCGATTTTGATGCTGTTAAAGTAAGCTTTTGAATCAACATAAAAATAGATTTATGGGGTAGAAACTTGAGAGCTTAACTAGTAAGTAAACGTGTGGTGAATTATCCTATGGTTTAAACTTGCATTGTGCATATCACTTAGGATTATAACTTGCTGGCTGTGGTGAAATTATTTTATTTGAGGGGAGGCATTCTCTTTAAAAGCTGAACTATGAACCGTGTGCATCTTGCATTTTATTTTATTTGAGGGGGGGCATTCTCTTAAAAAGCTGAACTATGAACCGTGTGCAAGATATTGATGAGTTTTTTATAGTTGACAAAATGCATGCAGTGGGTTGAGTTTAAATAGAATAAGTTAAGCGAAAAAAAACGTGTTTATAAAAAAAAATTCCGGAGTTTGTGCATGCCTGTACAAGTTTCGGGACTACTGCTAAATTTAGTCATTGGTTTTTGCAAAATAAACATACTGAAAAATGAAATTTGATCTTTCCAGGAGAAGCAAGGATTGCATATTACTTGCTGAATCTGTATGTAGTCCTACAATGTTGATGATCTGTTATTTGCTGCCGTTTTTTTTTTTTTTTGCTGTAGACTAGCCTTTTTTTCAGTAAACTAAGTAATGTATAACCAGGAAAGTCTCTCTCAAGTCATTTTTCAGTTGATTTGTCGACTTGTAAATTATTACTTTTTTGTGACCAATTTAGATGCTTTTTTGTTGCCATTGCTCAAAAAAAAAATTGTGTTAATCAAATATGTGGAAATAAAACTGGAGGTCAGTGTGAGACTCTGTAATTTTTTGAAATGTATAATATGGTCTTTGCTTCACTCGTATTTGGCATCGGTGTTGTACCAAATGTTCATAGTTGTACATTCAACTGGTCGCATAATCGCTGTCTCATGACCTTAAGCTGAGCATCAAAAGGGTTGACCCCCTACCCTGAGTGAGTGTCCTACAGACTCGATGGGAAGCCCAATTCCACTGGCAGAGATTCATTCGCTAACGAATGCTAGGAAGCTTGGTTAAGGTCTACAGGTGCTTATGTTTGACCGAGCCTGGTTGATGCCAGGATAGCTCATTAAAATTGCCATTTGATAGAGATGGCCGCAAGGCCCTGTCATGAAGTCCCAAACACGAATGACTTCTGTGACAAAATGCACTAGGTGTTAGCATCTGCAATTTGTATTTACAAAAGTCAGAAGAGACAACATTGACATTCAACGTCCGGAACTGACGCCTAGCACAAAAATATATAAAAAAATGCATTCACTTAGAACCTCGTCAAGATACTCTACGACTGGGAGTGTAATTGTTCTGATATTGAATAACGCAAGGGTTTTAGTCTTGAAGTTCAATATCTCAGGGATTGCACAACTATGAGTACATTATCCAGCATAGGACGTATCAGAAGGATGCATTATTTGCAAAAATAGTGAATTTTAAAAATATTTGGGCAAGTTTCTCAAAATGCATCACTAACATACAAGCGAATGCTTTTCCATGGTGAACACGCAGAACATGGCTCCATAATTTTACATAATTAACATTGTCCTGGGATTCATGTCCAACGTCAAAACTTGTGAGTAGGGAATAACATACTTTTGGCCATAATCGCAAAATATTATACTAGACACTGGAAGACAATTGTATATTTGGGTCATGTGTTCTAGAATGTACCAATGCAAAGTAAAAGCCATGTCGTATATAACCACCTGATACTGGAGGAATGGACTTGTTTGAGACAAGGTGTATCTTGCATAGTATAGTGGGTTCAGGTGTGTTAAAGCAGCCCAGGGGAGTCGCCTGCGCATGTATCAGATGGCCATACCGTGTCATTGTTTACAAACAAGCGTCTACCTCGACTCGATTCCCGCGCGTGCGCATGTGACGACCCTCCCGCTTTAACATGCTTGCCAAGACAAAATAAATGATATATGAATAATATTGTAACTATACTTTCAGTTTATTGTACGCAACTTTGATATGTTGACATCAGGGCATTATTCAATGTCACTAATGTCTGCCATATCGTGATTGGTATTATTTGGTGCTTGTTACGTGATTATTGGTTTCGTTTTTCAGCACGAGTAATGTCATCGCTCGATCTCGGTGATTTTAGATTGTAGTGACGTCGCGACAATGCCAGATCCACATGAGGTGGTATCACCGGTTATGTATGTCAACAGTGAGAAAATACTTGAAGCCTGTCTAGCAACAGAGAGGACAACCCACATCCGTTGATTGTGAATTTTGTGATATGAAGCGATGGGGACGAATGAGAGCATGTACGGTGACTACGAAGTTGTGAATCAGGAAAGAACGACTTGTTGGTGACAGTACACGGAAATCGATAAAAATAGGAAGATTTTTAATGGAATAATGTATAAGAGATGAAGTATGAGACATGGTACTTACGGTCTTCAACCTAATATTGTGTATTTGAGAAATAAATTCGTGTATTCTGAACTGAAAATGTGTTATTCCGGTGTGTTATTCGCATCATACCTTTTGATCTGTGATAATTTGACGTAAAACATAATATTTTCCAATGTTTTTATATTATATTTTAACGACATCGATTTCAGCAATTCGGTCACCGAAGAGGGCGCTAATTATCTAACAGGTGCCCGGGGAACGACTGCATTCCTGTGTTAATTACATGTAAACAATTGGAGAAGATAAACATCCTATTTGAATTGAACCTATTTTTATATACTATTATATTGACACTCATGGATTGCACTAAATATCACAACATGTATGTGTTTCGGCAACTTTGACTACCAGTTTCCAACATAACTAAACATAAATACAATGCACTTTTATAATAAGTCTCACGAAAAATCGCTTCTGTTACGTCAGTATTACGTAGGAAGTGTTGAAAAAACGTTTTGTTGTGCAGCAGTTCGTCATTTAGAATAAACAGTACTTTACATTCATTTGATAAGCGCAGATCAAACACGATACATACGATGCCCTGTTACGCCACCACCTTGCTGTCCGTCGCTCGAGGGCGTATTTACACTTGTGATATGCGATAACAACTATGTTTCAAAACTGTCCTTGAACCGAGCAAATCATATCTTTGAAATATCATTACCAGCCCATATATCGCGCTACTCCCACAAAGTCAATACAAAGTTCGATCTGCGCACACGCACGCACACTATATTCCAAAGTCGGAGTTTTACGAATTTGTGAAAAAGAAATGACCGCGAAAATGATTTTCGACACGCTGTGTTTCGTGTTTATTTCTAATCAAATTGTTTTAATCTTGGAAATATCAGCTACAAGAGACGTATCAATGCCCAGGTACTTATTTTGAGCTAATAATGACGTCATACTACAGCCGACTGTTCGACGTGGTATGTGATCCGAGCACGTGTATTTCAGACATAAATACAGGTGTCTGCCACGCACGTGTTTATCCACAAACCAATGGTTCACCTATCAATACACAGGGTAAACCGGCTATATACACAACATTGTAACATTCTGCATTGGTATCATAATGGTGACATTTCACATGCCATATTAATTTATTTCTAAATTTTGTTTCCATGTACTACTATCGGTGAGATACAAGCTACTAACGTTCCTGGTTAATAATTGGTTGAAGTTCAAGTTGAACTTTATTAAAAGTAAACAACTTTGATAATTTATGAAGGACGAAAATTTTGTTGGGGACGGGTTAATTGTGAAAGATATTACTTTAAATGGTACGAATGTGGCTGTTTGTTGTCCTTAGTTGGGACTTATTCACACGTGGCGAATAGAATCGAACTTCCGACCACCTTTATGCGATGGCTCTAACTAGATGTAGTCAAGTCCGAAACCAACTGATATACATCGTTCATTTCAATGAGTTATATTGGGTATCGTTCGGGGCTAATGTTGTATAAATATCTTACAACCGGCACAGTCTCATCACGACATACTATTTCAAAATATGCTGAATATTACTCCAAGTGGCTGGGCGTTGCTAACCAGACTACTATCTAACGGAATGCCGCCAGAAGAACCCCCGTGTGACCAATTGCAGGTCTCCATAGAAACCGGAAGTCATTGCAAGATAACGCGTTGATTATTCATACTGACTGCCGCGATATTGACGTATGTCACTATAAAAACACATATATGTAGATTTAATGACATGTTCCACGTCATTACACCGGTCGTGTCAAATTGCAAACTGCTCTTGTTTCAAAAGTTTGTATACGTCAGCACGGGCATAGTGTACACGTCACCAACGTGGCGGTCTCACTGCAAGACGGGCATTGACCACAGTCATGGGTGTTCTCCGCTTGGACCGACTCGGTGGCTGCATGTAATCCTACTCAGTCTTACCGATTGTTTCACACAATAGTTCTTCTAGATTACCGTTATGGCGAGACAAAAAGTACAACCTCCTCCGCCGCCTCCTCCTCTGGGAAATAAAAAGGAAACTCGCGGGAATACGAAGGACGAGAGGAGAAAGCTCACAGCCGAAGACACGTCGAAGAAACCTATCCTGGCGGTCTATCCTGTCTATCTCGGCGTCTTTCTCGGTATGTAAAACGGTGTCACATCTCACTACCATGATAAATTGTATATATTTTCTCTGTATGCAATGAATTTGCTGATTTCGATTTGGGATCGGTCGGAGTAATCATAGATGAACCTGTATTCATGGTCCCCATCTTGTTGCAGCAGCGACACACGGCGATAAACGAAACGAGTATAGGACATTATAATGTTGTTATATTGTACTTAAAATGAATGTTTATAATTACATTGTAGTTGTGAACACTTAGAATAGAGCAATTATATCGATTTAAACGAGACTCGCCTTACATGGACAACTTGCCAAATGTAATTAGCAACGCAGTATTTTCCACCTGTTCAAACTCTTTACACTCTATACCTAATCAAGGGGACCTGTGAATTAATGTGTAATTATGTAAGGATCGCAGTGACATGGTCATTTGTGCATCTGTGGCACAGTTTGAAGTTTATAAAGTGAATGCACTATAAGATATTTGTCAGATATTCGTTACAGATGCATGCATTGTAGTTGTTGTTGTTGTTGTTGTTGTTGTTGTTGTTGTTGTTGGTCTAACGTAGCCCACATTTTATTTTTTAAAACAAAATCGCAACAAATTGGAAGATTTTTTGATATTTTTTAGAGAAAAATATAGCATTTGTTTATATGTTTGGTCAAACACAGTGCACATCCACCCCATTTTACTATGACAAGATATATGTTGGTGTTTGAGTGGGCAGCCGATGGTCGATGCAAATATCTTCCACTTTGACAGTGCCATGAGTTCACACGTGGTCCAGGGCATTGACTAACGTTTATAAAGAACGGGGTAAAACTACCGCCCTCTAGCGACAAAGCACTGAATTATGTATTTGTATCTATGAGAGAATGTGGCTCGCAACAAAACTTGGTTTGGTTCGTGTGCGTTGTCTTTTCTGGATCCGTACATCACAACTTGATATATTACGATATTCACAGGGGAATGTATAGCGCCGTACCATTTCAAATTATCCAGATATTAAAACACATTGCATTGCCAGCTGATTCAATATTTGAAGAAAAACAATGTATAAACATTACACGCATAAATTCAGTAGCAATGTACCAAATTGACGTTGGCCATATGTCTGGTACAATACAACAATTACAATTATGTCAAGCACTGTATGCCTGCTCTCACATGTAAATATTTTGCTACATAACGGGTAATATACCAGTCACGACGCATGTTATTCTATTTAAAATGAAGATGGCGTATCGGGATGACGTCACACCTCTATCTGCCTTTCAGTTTGAAATAAGACTTGTGCGCATGCGCTTCAAATTTTCTGTACGCACATGTTTATATGCGTTCAACAATATATCTGTCTGCTACCATGACAAGGCTTTTATTCGACGATAAATCGTACTCTATTAATCTTCTTAAGTTTCTTATAAAATTCACTTAATGCTCAAAAATACTCAGATATTTATTCAAATTACTAATTTCAATTAGGACCGAAACGACTTATTCATGAGGTCAAAGTATTTTTTTTTTAAATTCGCAAATCACACAATTACGAAAATTGTATACTGACCAAATAAGTGTTGATACCCAGCTGTAAGTTATATATATCAATATTTAATAGTAAATTATTTATATTATTATTTTAATTATTTCCCAAATTTCATTTTTTTTTTTGTAGTTGTCTGCGAGAGCCCGCATATCTGAACAACTCAATAGACATCTCGTCCAACTTTCACAAACTTCAACAATCAATCAATCAGACATGGGTTTATATACAGCGTGGTTTGCCTTAGAAGCTTCCGCGCGAATGATGGCATAATGACAAACCTGGTTATTTGAGATCACACGAACGAGATATTCTATAGAGATGGTTCAGATTCTAAAAATTGAACTGGGAAAATAAATTAGAAAAAATATGACTAATATAAAAAAAGATGATACAAAAATGAACCATAAAAAGGGAAAGCCCAACTAACTGGCAACTAAGCTGCGGTCTGCTTCTCATTTCGACTTTACACTTTTATAAACAGACTAAAGCTGCACACAGTGTTATACATTTTACAAGGGCTATATCATTTCTTATAGGGGTGACAGCTTACGAATATACACTCTAACACAGGTTGTGGAATCCTTCCCGAAAAACTAAAATAAGTTCTTCTCTTTGTTAAGACAAGGTTTTTTGACACTCTCTAATTACTCTGAAATACTTGAAAGTAACGCTTCACATAACAGATACATATGGTTTAGTTCAATCTCACAACATTTCAAGGCTCAATGCTGAATCCAGCCGTGGACCCACAAAATAAATTAATAACTGTAGATGAGGTGTACTGGGGTCTCTCAAACAAAATACTTTATACGAGACCCGATCGACTACATCCTTTGTAATATGTGTATTACATATACTAGGTTTAGTTACAACATTGGTTAGTTAGGAACGAAGATCAATGTGTGAAGGTGTTTTTGGGTGGAATTGCAAATGTGAGAAAATTTAAAAAAAATATCTAAACTACCTAGTATACCTCTAAATACTCGTGGTTACGGCGACGCTTCCCATAACATGTCGTGGCACAACTTAGGTTACATCTCCAAGTTGGGACATGGTGTCAAAAAATATTACCAATAATGTGTATATGTTTTCTTTCAGGTATAATAGCGATATGTCTGCAGTTCATGCGACCCCAGGTCAACAACTATTACCCATCGACTGAGCTGATGGATACAGTACAGAAATTGACCGAGAAACTGGAATATTTTCACGTCACGTACAGTCGAGAATTAGAACACTTCCATCAACGCATCCACACGATAGATACCCGGATGAAAGATATCGACAAGGTGACACAGGAACAGTTGGAGAAATACGACAACAAACTACTAAACGCTCGGGGTGAGATGGCGGAGAGTGCAATACAGATCAAACATTACATCGGGATAGTTAATGAGTTGGAAAGTATGGTGACGTCATCGCGAAGTATGATTCAGTCGAGTAACGGCGGGAAAATCGCGAATCACGAAATCGAGATTCTGCGCAATGGGCTAGAGATATTGAACGAGAATATTGCGATAGAAAAATCAGCCGTAGTTTCTAAGATGAAAAAGTTGACAAGGGATGGCAGACGCGATCGGGATAAAATCGATCATCTCAGCGAATCCCTGGAAACCATGACAACCTCTATTGTGACTGAAATAAGAATTATTAATAATTCTTTAATTGACGTGAAAGATATGGTGTCGCGAGGGAAATCAGAGTGTGTGTCGATGATAAATAAATCAGTGTCCCAGTTTAATGACGATGGTACTTCCCTGGAGAACACCGTGAATCGGACTGCACGCAAGATGGCACAGCAAGAAGATTCTTTACAAGCGATCCAAAATACAGTTGACGGAATTGCGCGAGAATTGAATAATTACGTGTCTCTCATAAAATTTAAAAACGAAACTGAAATTTTGAAATCAGAATTACAAATTATTACCAATGATCTAAGTAAAAAGTCAATGGGATTGAACGAAAATATAGGAATCGATAAAAGCGCTCAGCTCAATTGTCGAAATTTGCACGCTACTGTACAAAGACTAAAAGTAGCTGTGCACAATCTGCAAAACGATCTAATAGATTCTCGTGCCTCCTGGGAAAACATGAATATCACTGTGACGTCAGTATTAGCTTGCTTATCAGAGAACCGGAAATCCGGTCAGGAAAACATGATGCTTCTCCTGAAAAAGTTGCAGAAGAAATTTCTGAACTATAGAGGGCAGCAGACATATCTGCAGAGCCATGTGTCAAATATGACGGATGATATAAAGAAACTGTCAGAAGAACGGAAACTTTGGAATTATTTTATTGATGCAAGGATGAATTCTCTACAGGACAGTTTACAATATCAAAATGTTTCAATTTTCAATATGGTCGCAATGGAAATAAAACGGGTTCAGAATCTAGTGAGTTTTCGCGACGCGTTGTCTCGGAGCCCTATGGGTGAGTGTAACACAAGTGGAGACATGGATGCAAAAAACATCGACGCACTGACTGATCAGTTCCGCACGTTGTTGGAATTCAAAATCGGAGTTTTGCAAGCACAGCTAGATGGAATCCGAGAAAATATGGGTTATGTTGGTCACCATGGCGACTCAATATATGACACAAAGAATTTCGTCGAATTCATAAAGTTCACCTTGAGAAGTCAACTTGATTCCATTCGTCGTGAGATGATAACGAAACAAGCAAAGTTCGAGCAGGAAAATGCACAATACCTCGAAGCTAGGCTACGAATGTTAGAAAATGAGGTGTCATCTCTGAAAAGCGACGCCAGTGTGGTTAACCCGGTTCAGCGAGGTGACGACACATGTGACAGTGACGTCATTGGCTACGTTGAGTCCAGGCTGAACTTGCTAAGAAGCCAAATGCAGATTCTGGGCACGGAGCTAGAAACACAAAAGTCGAAAACGAACGAGAACTGGAAAATACACGTACTGCAATGGCAGCTGGAGCAAGCCAATTCAATGTTACTTGAACACGAACGGCGACTGAATAAAACAGCGCAATCCATCAATAAGTTCAAAAAGGTCGATAACACGTATTCTGCGAACTTATCGCGTGAAGATTTGGATGGAATGACAAATTGCCATCAGAAATCTGTTGAATTTGAGCACTACTTGATGTCCGCAGATGAGCGTATGGACAAACAGGCAAAGCACATCAGTGAAACGTTGCGAGTAGAATCGGACAACTTAAATCAATATATTGCATTTTACAACGGTTTGCGTGACGGGGAGCTGCGAGGCGTACGCAAATCTCTAGATAATCACGACCAAGTAATACATGTTTTGCAAGAACAACTTTCGCAACGTGAAAAAGCGCCGAGTTTTCTGGGTTTTATTCATCAGCAAGAGTGTCATAGTATGATGTCACAGGTGTATGAGCTGGCGGATAAATACGAAGAGGTGGAAAGCGACTTAAAAAAAATGTACGATTTCCAACGATTTCTCGAGTTTCTACACCAATCAGACTACGAGACTATGTCAGCGAGGACATCAGAACTCGTTCATCAGCACGATGTGTTGGCAAAACTCGTTGAAGAACAAAAAGAAAACCAAGCGCTGTTGACAGAGAACATCAATTATTTGTTGCATGAGCAAGGAAGGAAAACTGCAGAGATCATGAAGAAGTTGAAAACAGTAATAGAAAACAACAAAGTGCGTGCGAATAACGAAGTTGCTTTTGTAAATCATACCATAAGTATGCTAATTAGGGACTTAAAGAAAAATGTGAGAAAACAAGAGAAAATGATAAATCAACTACAGAAACAAAATGCTCATAACAGCAAGAGTTTGGAGAATTTATTGAGAAATAACCCGACAAGCGATGTAAATACATCAAAGGTGTCACGAAAAAAATCCAAATCCACTAAAATAAAAACATTAGATTCTAAACCTGGCAACATAGAAATTGAAACGCAACACCTAACGAATTTGGAAACTAATGCGCATATGAAGGTACTAGCGAGAAATGACACCGACAAAAGTTTGCCGCCATATTTATTGAACAACGAGTTAGAAAGTGTCGCTTCGGTCAAACATAATACAACCAAGACCAGTAAAGAGAATGTCCGCCATGACTCGCCTTAGTCTCCAACCGATATGTGCTAGTAGATCCAGGATGCATTAGATCTCACTTCAAGTTGATTAGATACTGTAGGTCATTCTGCGATTGTTGACATGCTCTACATAGATTATGTAAGGGCTTCCTTAACTCTAGCATTGCAACCCTTGTGGAACATTAACTATGTAAATATGCTATGTTCGTGTCGATTCGGCATCGGCATTGAGATATTACAAACTATGTAAATATGTTCGTGTGTGTTCGTGTATGTTCGGCCTTACATGCGGGTTGGTCAGCTAAATCAAATGGAGGCTACTGTGGACGAGTTCCGGTTTTCGACAGACGCGAGATTTTGACACTGGATTAAAATATGTTTTTCGTGTAAACTCTTTCTATTGTATATTTAACTGGTTTACCACGACAACTGGTACATATTTTCACGTCTACAAAAATGCAATATAAATATATTTTTCATTCACTCAAAACAGTGTGATGATTATATGATTATTGTTTTAGCTGTCGAAAAATAAACTATAGTCTGTTCATTCATAATATGGTATTGTGCTTTTGTTGTATGTCCCATGTCGTCACGTGACTGTTCATCCCACCGGGTGGTGAAGTGTATACAAACGTGAATTCAAATATTTTCTGAACAAATATTAGGTCAAATGTACTCATTTTATTGACCTCGCCGGGTGATCACTCTACGTAGGTCTTCCACGTGTGTCGTCCACGTTTTCTCGGAATGAAAATGCTCTTACGCCCGTGTGCTGTTTGTACGTTCACGGCAACACAATTAAAGTGCGTGTTAGAATTTCTTATTCTTTCTTCGAACGACTTTGATTTTTGTGTCTTAAAAATCAATGCCCGTATGTATACCATGCATGTTAGACCCATTGTATATGTCACATGGAACCCGCTTTGGATAATGTGACGACTTCCGATCTTTAATGTAGCTTCTTGACGAATAGCAGAAAAGGACAGACCCACTTTGTATTGGAAAATGTCACTTGCATGTCGGAGATGAAATTAAAAACCACTAACTTATTGCTTGCCAATGGGTGCTACTATAAAGAGATAGGTAATTCGGTGTACTACATTTAACAGTTCAGACGTATTCATCATGTACATATCACTCCGCTAAGACTTATTCATTATGTTGCCCAAGATGCAAGATGAGGTGTATATACGTACATGTATTGTAATTGTCGGCCGCAGTTTCACTTACGGGTCCGAAATGTTGCTTAATTTAATTTAATATCAGATACTTGAGGATTCTGGTAAATTATAAGAATATATTTTGGCCGTAAGTCACGTTGGTGGGTGATCATTAAGTACCGTTGATGGCGTCATAATAAACAAAAAATCCAAGAATTCTATCGGAAAGTTGTATTCGGTTGTGTGAGGAATGGAGCCCTTTAGTCACTGGTAGCATAGTGGTTGTTGCGTCAGACTCGTGATTGGTAGACCCATGTTCAAATCCTACTTCGGGCTGAACACCAAAAATGGTCGACTCCTACCCTGAGTGAGTGTGTGCCACAGACTCGATGGGACAGCCAATTCAACCTGCAGAGGTTCATTTATTTTATTTATTTACGCATTTAATGATAACCATTTACATCCAAAAAATATGAATAATTACATAAAACTCTGAAAGTAATCTACCATGGGGTCACAAGTGAAGATGAAGAACAATTTCTATTGAATTGCCCAAACTATAACACAGAGAAAACTGCATCAAACAAATTATGACACTACTTTCGTCCAACAATAAAAATATACAGTTCACATATATTCTCTGAAGCAAAGATCCTGGCATAATTTTAGAACTTGCCAATTTTTTTACGCAACCAAAAGATTTATTTAACATTTAAATATTAGTTACGTTCTTTTGTTTTTTTGTACAATATTTTTACATATATCTTGTTATTATTTTAAAATTCTTGTTTGCTGTACTTATCCTATGTAAATATTTTTACACATAGGCAATAAAGTTATTATTATTTTTATTATTACTATTATTATTATTATTATTATTATTATTATTATTATTATTAGTAGTAGTAGTAGTAGTAGTAGTAGTAGTAGTAGTGATTTTTAATAAGCAGTTTGACAAGGACAAGTAACGTAAATGAAAGCAATAAAACGTACAACGTTAAGCTTTGGAACCCTGCAAGTAGGCCAGTCTCACTGTTTCTCACCACAAGGGGTTACGATCCCCCCTACCAGTCCCAAAACAGAAATAAAACACACGACAAAGTTTAAAAACTACGTGATAATACTACCAGTTGATTTATTCGTGATGAAAAGTGGACATGATTTAAAATGACAGTAGGCGGGTTCAGTGTGTGAAAAAACAATACTTTATTTGAGATTTGACAGTCTCCCGTGACACGACGTGGCGGAGCGTACTCAGGCCACCCAACGTAGCTAACTGGAAGCTTGGTGTTTATAGCACCATACCAGCAAAATGTGTGCAGAGAAAAAAAAACACTGAGAAAACTATCATTGCCACATAATGGTGTGAACTAGTCACGTGGCATTGGAACAACGAAACGAGACGACCAGCCTTAGGATATCGAGATATCCGACCATACATTCATGTTTGTCAAACAATTCACTCTTGCTTCGTGTAGTAGTAGTAGTAGTAAAATGGCAACACACCCCAATTTTAAAATTTTCGGAAAGGCGGCTGTCTTGAACATTCCTCGGTGTGGATTCTGAACGTGTCAAGAAGCCGATGTCTGAGATGTGAGCCGACTAGCGCTGTTTCGGCGTTTCATATGTTCAGTGCTTTTCAGGTAAATGTAATGGACATAATAAGCTGTTCGATCGCACAAGTTACACCCGCTTGTTCTTCTGCACTTGTTTTGGTTTCGGAAAAGGTATTTACTATATGCATAACTGTGCAAGTAATGTATCCTCGGGGCGGTGCTACGTCACAAGACGTTCCACGTTGCTACGACGCGCACCACTGTACACGCAATTCTATGGGCTCTGTGCGCGCTGCTGTGGAACGCCGGTCGAGCCGGTGAAAATTCGAGAAAACAACACAAACTCAACTTTGAAGTAATCCCGAACAGCCAAATTTATATATGTTACACATGTAGGGCCAATCTTGTTACACTGTTCAGAGGAGTCTCAACAATCATCCCAAAGTACCATTTTCTGCGAGTTTTGGGCCTTTGTTTTCACCGCCGCAGGTTGCCAGGCGGTGAAAATGCCCGGATGTCCGACCCGAGGATATAACAACGGTAAAAAAACAAAGACAAAAATAGTAATAATTACATGTAAAGTCTTTATTTACGATATTTCCAGGCAATATATAACAGAAAACAATAATTGCGATGACAGAAAACAAATACGACTTACAAATCACGAATAATTTTACTTAATAAGTTGAAAATATCGAAACAATACTTAGATGGTGCATATAGGTAAAAAGAGATCTGTTTTACCCTCATGGATGGTGCTAACCTCTGCTGAAGATGCTATTATTGTAGGGTCTATGTTTCAATTCATTGTTTAAAATATATACTACGTGTATTACTAATACTATAACAGAATCCGGTTGTGGAGTTTTTGTACTTGGGAGAATGAGGTTACCCTTTGCCACAACTATCTCCAGGTCACCCTTGGGCAATGTGTAGTACCTGTCAGCCTTTGGTGCCAACTTCCCACATAATAAGTTTGGTTGAAGTCAGTAAAGGCATACGGTCGTAATTTTTTGCACAAACAGAACCGCATAGGTGGACAATATTTCATGTAAATATGTATATATACGTTTCAGTTTTCCTTAGCATTTGGCAGGGGGGATCGTAACCTCTTGTAGTGAGAACCAGTGTGACTGGCCTGCCTACAGCATGCTAAGGTTTCCATAGTAAAGGTTATCAGTTATATCCGTTAATGTAATTTCGTTTTATTTATTCGTAAATCAAAAATCACTATAACAGAATATAATGTTCCACTGCACGGGAAACGCTATGCGTCGTTGACGACTCTGTGAATTGCTTTCTTATTTGGTGTGAATGAAACACTGACCCTTCAGTTCACGCTATTCCAGTTAGTGGCTACGTGACAATAGCGTTACTTTAACGACACATTTTATTAGCACCTTAGCACTTATCAGTGTATTGTTTTCTCGCGTGTTTACGTCGTTTCTGCTCGTACAGAGTGGTAACAATGCTCTTTTGAAAACATGAGTGTGAATAAGAGACTAAAAGACGTGTCGTAGTTGTGTCTTCCAAGTACCAATTATAGTACAATGTACAATTATAGAATACATTTATGTTTGACACGGGGGCGCTATACACCCCAAAAATACGGTGACAACGCATCTGTAGGGTAGTGACAATACACACGATCGTATATACACCTTCCCTCAATATTATGCCGAAGGTTTATCATTATACATATCTTCAATAATATTAATGACTTAAGTTTTTTTTCAAAAAACACGGGAATATATAGTGAACACCAATAAATGCGCATATAAATTCACTGGATTCGTTTTAATAATTCATATGAATATGATAGGTCTTTGTCCCATATGGCATGAACAGTTTGTACATGATTTATGGTATAGATTAATTTGCGCGGGAATCTGTGACCTTTGCCCTATAAACCCCTGTGTTATGCTTGGGAAACCCCGTAGATTATACAATCTGTCACTCCAGCGCTTGAGAGCATCGCCATTTTTGTTGTGTTCTCGTTGGGCTTCACGTCTTTATTTTCTTATTTTTAGCTAAAGCCGTGAAATAGGTGAGTGTAACTCTTCCATTTGGTTTTCACGTATTTTGTGAGCATTTCTGTTAATTTTAATGGATTGCGCCACACAACTCGTTTCACGAAATTGGATAAACGTGCACTGTGCTGAAGGCGATGGACTGACGACCCGACCATTTTGAGGAAAATTCAAAACCTGTTTCACGTCATCGTATTATTTGTAGGTAAAACACCTTGTATTCGAAGAAACTTGCGTTAAAAATATCAACAAACTCGTCACTCCCGGATAGCTTATTTTTTTATCTCAATTTGCTACGTGGCTCTTAACAGAAAAAGAACAAATTCTCGAGTTGCTCACATGTGGCCGTACAAACAAAGCGAAGGCAGAGTGATATATGGCGTGGGTTCCACTCTGATTTAGTTTGCCGGGCTATATGCTTGTAAAATACGTTTAAAATTGTTTTTATATACATCTCCTATTCATTTAGTTCATCGTTTGGGTTCTTGCATGTTTAAAAATGCGGTGTTGATTTTTTTTAAATTGGTTGACTATTTTCGTTTTCATTTGTAGAAACCATGTGATATATCCACGCGGCGGGGAACGCCATGTGACATTGTCCTTTGTATTTACCGGACAAAAGAAAACTCCGCTGCAAATAACGACCGTTTTTTGTTGCACATTTATTTCCCATCAGTTTGAATTTGGAATAAAATTGTATCGCGTGTTTACGCGCACATAAGTGAAAATGCATTTTTGGCGTAGCGCGTTTTTGTTAACGATTATTTGGCAGTTTCAGTAAGGGAGTGAAACCAAAATGGCGGATGTAAAATTGCATGTTTCCTCACAAGCACATTGTACGGTTTAAAAAGTTTGGTGTTTTGAAGTAGATTAGACGTTATCTGACTACTAGTGCATTGTATGTTTATAAATAGCCATAGGTCACTGAAAGGTTTACTAGGTTGATGTCACATTAAATTGTCACTAACCAGTTTGCTTTATTTGGCCAATAATAAATCCATATTAATTTTCTCCTTAATTATCGGTTTTGATTTAAGTGTCATTTACCTGAACTGATAATTTACATGTAAATCATAATAAATGATTGCTAGATTTCATTTAAGCTGATATTTTTCTTTAGTAAAAAAAAAATATTCTCAAAGACTGACTGAGATGTTAATCCGAAAATTCGTTGTCTATTCTTGTTTGAGAATAGTCGTGGATGTGGACCGTGATGTAGCTCTGTCTTTGAGAATATATCTAATTTTTAAAATGGTTTTCTGAAAGTAATTGATAAATGCAGTCTCTCTATATAGGGACTGTGATAAATGCATTGGGATAGTCTTTTGAAATAAATTTCACATGATTTGCATGTCAATAGATTCTGTCAATTGATTGGCCTATCGCTTGCCAATATTAAATCCATTGTCCTAGAACATAAACTTTCTCTGGTCCATAAACGCAAAGCCACTGAGTGGACTGGTTTACATTTCCTCAATCCTACAGCTACTCTGATGGCAGAAACAGAACAACAAATGGGTGAGGAGACAAACTCAGAACAGGTCCAGCCTGTTGCTGGAGAGGAAGAGCCAATGGAGTCAGCAGAGACTGTTGTTCATAGTGAGGACTATGACAAGCTGACAGAAGCAGGACTTGCAGAAGTTGTTGCAGAGAATTTGGACAAGATTTACCAATCGGGTAAACATTTCATCACTGATCCTTCGTTTTTCACGCGTTTAAAAATATCTGACTTGTATGCTATCTGCCAATGAGTATATTTTAATTTATACAATCTCAATATGTATTTGTTAAATCGCAGGTACTCTTACTCATGGAGAATTAGATGAGAGAGCACTGGATGCACTGAAAGAATTCAACGAAGAAGGGGCATTAGCCGTCTTGAAACAATTTTCTGGTGGGTATACAAGCTCTCATTCTGTTATAGTATAAATGTGCATAAAAAAGTAAAAACCATTGTTTTTGTCAATTGCTTGCTAATAATTTTGAGTTTATGTCTCGTTTATATTTTAGAAAGTGACTTGTCACATGTGAACAACAAGAGTGCCTTCCTTTGTGGTGTAATGAAGACATATAGACAGAGGGCAAAACTCAAACAATCTACAGCTGCAGATGCAAGACCAGGACCAGATGAAGCAAAGTTGAAAGTAAATACTAACATAAAGATCTAATAAAAGATTTTCGCGTGCACAATGAAAAGCATAGTATAGTGTGTTTTTTATAGTGTGATTGATTCACACCTATGTCATGCATCTCATTATCATTGTTTGAATCTGACACTAGATTATTTCTTTGTTTACAGGAAATTCTAGACAGGACAGGATATTCACTGGATGTTACAACTGGACAAAGAAAATATGGAGGACCTCCACCTGACTGGGATGGCCCAGCACCATCTGGAGATGCAGAGGTGTGTTTTAATGTTTAGTTAGGAGCTTTCTACTGTTTACTGTGACAGTAACTGAAAAAAGCAATCTAAAGTTCGTGTGATGTTTCCTTATGTCACATTGTTTTTTCACAAATTTCCTCAATGAAGAGCCACTGTTTTTCTGTGAAGCCTTTTTTCTAATTTAAATATTTTTTCAAATAAATGTTTGAAATAAAATTCCAACTATTCAGTGCTAAATATACATCTTGTTATGTATTTAGTACTGCAAACAAAGTAAAAAGTTTTCAGAATCAAGCTTATTTGTTTTACCAAATTAAACATTTGAATATTTAGAAAAGTACAAGATTCTTCTCAGGATTCACTTTCTTTATAGTATCTAATCATGGAACTATAAACCCCAGGAAGAACAACCACTTTGTTTCCTTTCAACTATAATAGTTGCCGCGATGTCAAATGTTTATTTTGACTGTTTATTTTGTCGCATTAAAAAATCGAAGGGAAACACAGAATAAGTCGGGATATCTCAACAACAAACAGCATACAAAACCCCATGTTTCGCAAACTTTTGCAACCTTAGTTTTTCGAGGGTTGGAAAAAACAAGTAATCTAAAACGACGTTGAAAATTATGAAAACTCTCTAAAACTCCGACCCGTTGCATGATTTCCGGTACACTGAAGGTCACCCTGCAGACCGACTTGTTTGCGCACGCGTAGTAAACAAAATATTTTACTGCGCAGATGTGAATTTTTTTTTCAAGTTTTCAGTTTCCAGCAAAGCGGTTGATACGGGCGTATCGGCGGCAACTAACGTGGAGTATGACTAATGTTGTGGAAACAAAAGCGAAAGCACTGTAAGATAAACTATGACAAAGGTTTTTTTAATCCTCTTGGGTTCGTTGTTCTTCCTGGGGTTTATAGTTCCATGATCTAATCAAGCTTTAACTGCGGTTGTGGTATTTAATACTATTTCAATCAACAGCAAAATTTTAAAATGTGCAAACATACTCTGGATCAAAATGTCAGTTTACTATTTTTTTCGGACGACTCAAATTTTAGTGTTCATCTTAAAGTCGAGCAAGACGAGTCTAACATTCTTTCACATTTTTCACAATTTCAATTATTGCAAAAATGTAACGTTTTACATTGTAACATAATGTTAAAGGTAATGATTACCCGAATAACAGCGCTTATGTGTGATCACGAACATGAAACATCTCAGCTTGTCCACAATACAATACACGCTGTACCCCATTGTTTAAAAACGTAATTTATAACCAAAATTAACATGAAAAATTTAAAATTGTACTTGGTTGGAGCCAATAACCACTAACAGTCCAACCTAGAATTTCTACCAGTTTTGCCAAAAACTATACCAAAACATGCGAAAACAAAGAATTGAGCCATAACAGAACATAAATATGGAATTAATGTCTTAATATTAAGCGTGTGTGGGCCAGCCTTAAACTTCAGAGCAAAAAAAAAACTTGCGCTGTTATCCGGTAAACTAATCATTGTCTTTAATTCTATTCAGGGCCAGCACTCCAGTGGTTCTCCTTTGTTCCGACAGCAAGTTTTTGTTGGCAAGATTCCAAGAGATATGTTCGAAGATGAGATAATTCCATTATTTGAGAAATGTGGAAAAATCTGGGATCTTAGACTTATGATGGATCCTCTATCTGGTTTGAATCGTGGCTATGCCTTTGTGACTTTCTGCGATAGAGAAGGCGCACAAGAAGCTGTGAAACAGGTGAGCTAATTATTTGTAAGTTATTGAATAAATGTTTAAAAACCAACAAAGTTGTAAATGGCACAGATTCAATCTAGACCTTACTGTTTTGATTTCTGCTTTATTTGACTGGGAATTAAAGAAAAGTTGTTAGATACTAAAATACCATTATAAATTTAACAAGTTGAGTTTCTAAAATAAAAGTGCTGCCTTGTTTTCGCTGTCTTTTGTGTAATCAGTATATAACAGGCTCATTTTAGTTCGAATAATAGTCACAATTTTCTAAGACGGACCGAACATAAAAACAAGACAAAACAAAAGATTTTTGAAGTTGGCGTGGGGGAAATAACGTATTGTTGTCAGGGTCATTGAGTTGTCACTATTGTTTAAGCTACTGTGATTGGTTGCTGGCATTGTTTAGGGGGGGATTTGACCCTTTTGTGATGTGGGTTTGACATTAAAAAATGCTTGTTACAAATGCATAGTAACAGATCTAAAGGCTGTTAGGAGTGTATGTATATTAAGACTTAATATTGTAACAATGAATCAAATAGTAGCTTACACTAAGGATTGTCATCTTTTGACAGCATTGTTTTCACTACATAACAATCTTTGCGCAATGTATATAATAGATTAGTAAAATGCAACTCGTTACTGAATCGCCTAAAATAACATTCCAACATTTACAGCTCATTTATTTAATTTTAGACCATGCCCCAGAAGTGGCGTCAACAATCTTGAGGGAAAAGTTTTCATTTTTCTTTCTAATGCACCTCTTTTCACAGCTTGACAATCATGAAATTAGAAAAGGAAAACACTTGGGTGTGTGCATATCTGTTGCCAATCACAGACTATTTGTTGGTTCCATTCCAAAAACAAAGTCAAAAGATGAAATATTAGAGGAATTCAATAAACATGTTGGTAAGTAGTATGCTATAATTTTAATGATTTAACACTAGCACACCTTAATGCTATGTTAGAAACAAATTGAGCTTTCTGGGTGTTGTGACAGCTGAATCCAATGTTGTATGCAGTGACATTTATCATGTAATAACAATGCTTGTAATCTGTTGCAAAAGACTAGCTAGTCAAACTGGCATTGTTTCTGTCACTGGAGCACAAAATTGTGGCAGGTTGTTACTTGGTTAAACCAGCCTTTTCCTCAATGACCAGATGATTTTTGTCGCTCTCTGTATAATATGCTTATGTACTCGTTTAATCAGGGTCAATTTTGATAACAAATTTAAGTTCAAAAGGAGTTGTTTGGTTCATGCCTTTCACCATTATGCCAGAAACTAAAAATCACCTACATCCCATAGTTTTCTCTGGTCGCCTGAAAGGAGAGCAAATACAATTAGGGAAGTAAAGTTGTCTCGATACAATTCCAAGTTCATGTTGCTTGTTGCGGAAAATGCTATTCTTGGCAACTAGATCAAACTGTCACGAATCCAACAGGTCTTTGAGGCTTACTTTCAATAGATCGCAGCAAAATGTCAGCATTCTACCCAGGGCATTATAGAGTAGGGGGTCCCAACTGTTGAATTTTGGATAAACATTAGAACCAATTTTTGCATACTGGTAAATACAAGCCAATAACATATTGTTTTGCAAATTGACTGGTATTGTATACAATTTTTCTAAGGGGGGAAAACGCTGAATGTCTACAAGACAGTCAGTTTATTAAGCTGATTGTTTTTGCCGCTCTGTTATTTATTCTGTGACATGCTCCTCTGCCATAGTTTTATACAATACACAAGTGACAAGTTTTTATTATTTTACAGGTGGTCTGACAGACGTTATCATCTACCACATGCCAGAAGACAGAAAAAAGAACAGAGGTTTTGCATTCTTACATTTTGAGTCTCACAAAGCAGCTTCTCTAGCCAGGAGAAGGTTGATGAGTGGGCGTATCAAGGTTTGGGGTAACTCAAATGTTACTGTAGATTGGGCAGATCCACAAGAAGAACCAGATGAAGAAACAATGGCAAAGGCAAGTACTGTGAAATACTTTTATTTTAACTATGTTAGTAAAGTTTAGTGTATTTTGTATAGTTTATTTTCTGTTTTTGTTTACTATAACACAATTACAATATTATAATATTAAACAAGGTCAATTAAATGAAACTGTAAAGTAACTAAAATAGGTTCTTCCAGATAATCTGGAGTAATTCAAATCACATTCACTTTAACTGTTCACTCTAGTTTGCTGTAAAAAAAATAATTTTTGTTAAATCCTGAAAGTTGCTCTGCAACCATAATGCATTTAGTGACATGAATTGATGTTTTTTTTTCAGGTAAAAGTTCTGTATGTAAGAAACTTGACTCCAGATGCCGAGGAAGAGAAATTAAAGGAGGCTTTTCAAGCCTTCGGTACTGTAGAAAGGGTAAAGAAATTGAAAGATTACTGCTTTGTCCACTTCGAAGAGAGAGATGCTGCAGTAAAGGCCATGGAAGAACTGAACGGTAAAGAAGTTGAAGGTTCAGTTGTTGATATTTCTCTGGCAAAACCACCATCTGAAAACAAAAAGAAAAAAGAAAGACAACAGACCAGAGGAGGCAGATCATCAAACAGGTAAGTTGTGTTTTGAGCTTAAGGTGTTCCACCATTTGTGAACCACCTCCTGGAACTGGATCTCATTTGCAGTAATTATTTGTTTACGTTACAGGTGGGATGATGATTATTATGGAGGTGGAAGAGGCCGTGGTGGTATGAGAGGTCGAGGTGGTTATGACCGTGGTGGCTATGATCGCGATTATGGATATGGTGGATACGACGACTACTACGGTGGTTACGATGATTACCGTGGTGGTAGTTATGATGATTCCTACTATGATGGATATTATGGCGGTGGATATGGAGATAGAGGAGAATATGGCGGATATGGTGGTGGTTATGGCAGAGAATTGAGAGGGGGACGTGGTGGTGCTATGCGTGCACGTGGTGGATCGTCTCGAGGACGTAGTGGGTATCCAATGCGTGGTGGTCCGATGGGTGGAAGAGGCACTTATGGCAATAGGGGAGGCCAAGGATTGCGTTCACGTGGTCGTGGTTTAGGAATTCAGTCTGGTGGCAGAGGACGTGGTGGGTTCATGGGAAAACGCAAGGCGGATACACAAAATACAGGTGACTCGAAACGCCGGTTCACCCAAAATCTAAACAGCCAGAATTGGGGAGCCCAGCCAATAGCTCAGCAGCCTTTGGAGCAGGATTACAGCAGCGGTTATGGGTACGGTTCTGGAGGTGACCAACAATGGTATCAGGATTCCTTTAGCCAACCCTGGAAGTAAATCCAACAAAATATTCATTCATCATATTGATGCGGCCATTTGTCATTTTATTTGGAAGTCCATCAACAACATCCGAAATCAACACCAAATTGATCACCGAATGTCTCCAAATTGATCGTCCAGGTTCAGTCTACATCAGATTGAAAGGAGTTTACAAAAATTCTCACTTCCCTAGCTGATTTGCTTCTGTTTTATGGGAGATAGCATTCTCTCCTCCTGCCTGAAGATTTGATTGACTAAATATTCTAGATATGAAGATAAACTGATTCCACTACCAGAGCAAAGGGCACAAAATTAGCCATGTACTCTGCACCAGTGAAAAACACTCGCATAGTTTCAAACGACATTATTGTCATTATATTCGCAGACTTTATTTGGCATCCCGTTTTCATTTATATAACCAGCTGACATTGACTATTTTTTGACTCTTCAAAAAACTTTGATTTTATCTGGTCTTGTGAAAAGTTCATACCCTTTGTAAATACTAGAATACATAGGACAGTTTTCTGTGGCCGTAGCTTTATCTTACGAACATTTCACCATTTATATCGATATTATGTATTTTTGTTTAGACTAATATTTAGTTGCAAAGTAAAAAAAAAATGTGGTTAGGTATTTAAAATATTGTAATTGTGTACTATTTCGATGATTACTATACATAAAACTAAGTTTTTGATGGTAAACATGCATATATTAGTTACATAAGTAGAATGGCAGGAGAATTGTTATTCGGCAATTTTGTCTGTCACATGATCAAGAGTACGTAATTAAAAGTCTCTAAAGGTAAAGTTTTTAGGCTTTGAATATTTTAAAATTTGTGTGAAATGTTTTAGCTTGTCTGTCATATTTTCCTACTTTATGCTTTTGGCACATTTTGAAAAAAAAAATGAAAGCCAAATCAGTTCTCGATTAATGATTGGCAAACTGAATTGTACGTTCTTGTATTCAATACTCGTCTGTCATACTTAAATGCCCAATAAAAAACCAAGTTTAGATGTTACAAAAAACATAAAAAACTACCATTCATTCAGTTCCTACTTTTATTTGTGAATCTGATTTTATCAGATCTGTGTTAAGTCGGTTTGTGCTAGTTCCCAGTCTCGTGATTGTCTCCCCTCCCCTTCCTACTAAAGCTTATTTATCGTTGGATGGGTGTTGCTCAACTAGTCAATTTTATTAAAAAAGTAATGCATTTGAATTAGAACTGCTGGAAGCTGGCGAAACATATACTGGGTTTTAATTTTTAGCAGATGTGGTTTTACTTACACTAATGTGAAGAAAATTTTCCATATTCAGCTAAAAATACCCAGTGAATGATTAAACCCTTTTAGAGAAAGTAATTCCTGTGCTTCAAGATCTAGCATTGTCAGTGATCTTGAATGATTGTGTTTTTGTATGTCAACACTAACTAAAGTTCTTTCTTTTCTTTTCTTTCTCCCGCTCTCTCATACAACCCGTTACCCCAAAGAACATGAAACAGATGATTAAAAAAAGTAATAAAATAAGAACAAAATCCCAACATAAAACATACCAGTTCAAGATTTGCAAATTATTTGCAGTCCAAATTTACCATTTTGCCACGAGGCATTAAATGCTCATTTACCCATTGATATTGCAGGTTACCAGTTTCATTTTAAGTTCTAGGCACCTTTATTTACATCTTTCTGCAATTGACTGCTTGAAAATTGGGGATTGGAATTAAGGTTTTGTAGAACCAAGGCAACCATGGCCTTGTACACAATTATGGACTTGTAGTAGTTCTTTATTGCAGTTTGGAACACCTGATTAGGCCATGAACTGTATCCTGTGTTTGAACAAGCACATTTGGTTTGGCCAAGAATACTGTCTTGTGTTTTGAAGGTTTTGTAAGATTGCAAAAATAATGTAGCCTGTTGGGCCACATTTCTTTTCTGTTTGGCACTCGTGTAGAGAGCGTCTCACCTATACAGGTGCCACCCCTACCTCGGCAAGGAGGCTGAGGCCACCTGGAGTCTGTTACCCTGGGTCTGGCCAGTACCTGCTGTAATACTTGGATTGAGAAGAGGAGTTTGTTCCAGGTGACTATCACGTGTGCCAGGGGAAAACAAGTTGGTCTGCTCAGATTTCAAGACTGCATTTCTGAGGAAGTTCAACTTCTGGCGAATACTTCAATGGCTAGTTTAGTAGTACTGTAGTGGTTCAGTAAATTGGTGTGGCTTGCTCTATAGCTTGACAAAATTTGGTTAATTTGACCAAGGTTTCTAAAAATTGCCGATATTCACTAGCCTGGTAGTCCTGATTCTTGTATTTAAATTCTGTGATGGACTGTTGTGAATCTCGGTGGCAAGTATTTGATAAAACCCTTCTGGTCTATGCAACAACAGGATTTTTTAGGTGCATTATATACCAGTTAAGGTGATATGATGCAACTTAAGTTAAAAAAGTTCCTCCACCCCACCAACTTGATCCTATCAATTTACTTCATTATGGGGTTTCAAGTAACCAGTTTTTTTTGGCAATTTCAAAGTGTCTGAACATCTATTTCAATTGTTAATCGACAAGTTCACACGAAATGTAACGAAGCTTTGTCCTGTTGAACTGATAAAGGTGTGCATCGGAGTAGTTGGGAGATTTGTATCCAGACAAGTCTGAATTTCTGCTGCTCGTTAGAGTTTCATTTTGAATGCTTTCAGGTTTCAGTACATTTAGTTTAATAGGAACTGCGGACTGATGTATAAAAATTTGTCAGAATCTAGTCGGGCATAAACTAGCCCAAGTTCAGTTCATTTATTACCATTGCATTATATGCTGTACTCGTCCCAATTTAAGTGAAAGTTGCTGAAGACTAGCAATGTTGCTCGTGCCTAATTTGAACATGCTGAATTGTCTGCCACCATTCGTGAGTATATTAAAAATTAAAATTCCTCTGTTGGCCAGTTTATTAACGGTCGCATTTATTTATGCATTAATATTGGTGCATATACAAAAGTATCTATGGCTTGATTTAAAAAAAAATTCTTTGTATTGTGATTTGGGCACTACCTGTGCCCACCTAGCATTGGCACGTAAAAATGTCGCTGAAAGTTTAGGGCAGATATTTAACAATAGTAGTTCATTATGGACCTGGCAGTTACTGTATTTTTTTTCTCGCTTTATTGCAGAAAAAGAAATTGAGCTGAACAGTCGACAGTGATGCGAGTGGTTAGACGAGATCTGCAACAACTCGCTCGACAAGCAAAGTGCAAATAAAACCTTTCCATGTTACAGCACTGCAATACCAGTGTAGTATTCTGCATATTGCAGCAAATCTGGTAGTCTGTCATTTGAAGACATTCCTTTAAAAACCTACTTTCTGTGGAGTTTTGTAGACCAACTGGTATTGTAAAAATTAAGGCAACTCACTGCCAACTTAGAACCTTTCAACAGGGTAATGCGATGTCATCCTCGTAGGATTACGTTCGTTTTACAACATAGATTACTGCCAAAGAATATAGTTTTGTAATTTATTATATTGAATAAATTTTATTTTTCTACATTAAATCTTTGTTTCTTTCAACCATATAAAAAAAAAGGATAAGTTAGTCTCATTTGTAAATTATGTTTACTTGTCTGAATAAAGTCAAAATTTATTGTTGTGCATTGTAATGTGAATGTATTTGGTGCTGCTGGTGCTATTCAGTCTGGATTGAATAGGAAATTGTGCACTTTCTGATTGTAGGGAAAGTTTGTGTTGGCAATGTATTCCAATGTTAAAATTTTCAGTGATCTGGGTCTAGAATACCAGTGTCCTCGAGAAATTGGCCATTACTGTAACTAGCAAAAAACGTGGGCTACAGAATAAAATTCCCATAGAGGAAAAAAAGTCTCGTCTCCTGGCAGTTCTGAAAATACAGCATTTTCAGTCGGCTGTTCGTGTCACTGCCCCCCCCATTTTAAAGGGCACAGTCGCGCGCATGAGAAATTAATCTACATATTTTTCTGTAACCGAGTGGGTACAAATTTTGATCTCTGTGCAATGTGTACAAAGTATTGAATTAATGTAATGCTTTTTAGAGTCGTGCCCCCCCCCCCCCCTTCCTTAGACAATCTTGACCTTGGGCATTATCAGCTTATGGTCGCCTCCCAAGATGGTTTTTATCTCCAAAAACATTCTTGCTCCAATAATCAATGAAATTAAAAGGCAGAGTAGTATTTTCGCTTTTAATGTATTGAGCCATAAATTGCCTTGTGGAGTCTAATGTACATACTGTGTGTGATGAGATGCTGAATTGTTAGCGACAGTAATGACCATGCCTACTTTTGCGAAACCAAGCCCAAATTGTAACTGTTATTTTTAGCTGAATGCATGGAATATGGAAACTTCAAGTCGCGCACAAGTTTTTTTTTTTGTTTATTTCATTTAATTCTAAGTTCAGTTAACTGAAAATAAAAACTTGAGTTACTGAATTTGAATGTTAGACAAAACAAAAATCTAAGTCCGGTAACCATTGATTAAATTTTGAGTTGCCTAATGTTGACTTGCAGAAAAATATACATTACCTGTAAAGTTCTGTTAATTGAACATAGTTGCAATTTGTGCGTGGTTTCAGAAATATGGCTGTGGTAATTTTTGTAACTCGATGTTTTTGGTCCTCTGTTGGTAACTCGAAACAATTCAGCATCTTGCTGAAAATATTTGGACACTTGGAAAATTATATAAACTTAGTAGCGTGTTATGTGAAATTTTAGCTCGAGCCTTTTGTGAAAAGCTTGGTTAGAACATGGAGGTAAAAGACTAGAGTTGCAACTGGTTAACTGTTTAAGCCTTTGTGTCTAGTCAAGTTAATCTTCAGATGGAGGTACTTCCATGGTTAGAATTAAGTAGGTTTGGCTATTCAAATTTTGGATGCTGATGACTGTCAGTTTTATGATGGTGTGTGTGTGTGTAAATAAAACCCACTGAATATGCCTGAAATGGTAAATCAGCGAAATTTAAACCCAGTGAAAATTAGTCATTTTACAGTTCCTCCCAATAAGAAAAGGTAAAACATGACATACTGGAGTGCTACAGATCGTCTAAAATTGATTCTCATGTGCGAATCAATGTGTGTGAGTTTTTGCAGTTACCCTGTCTGTGTGTGTTTATGTTTGGTCGAATATTAAAACTTGCACATGTCTAATTTGCATAATAAATTTCAGGTTTCCACCAATATCTCGAGTACTTTGTACATACATGCCATGTGGCATTACACAAAGACTGCGAAATGGAATGAGAGTTTATGGTTACGTCGTCTCTAATATTTTGTAGAATAGAAAATGTTAGCAATATTCCAATTTTGTAGTCAACAATTAGGAAATCTACAAAATGATACAAATCTGCTGAAATTGCTTCAATATTTATTAAATTTTGTGAATATGAATTGGCTAAGTTTGCATATTAATCATTTTGAAGAAATAATGCCTGATTCGGGCAACTGAGGTAGCATATGAGCTTGTGTTTTTTTACTCTTGTGTACGAAGCTTAAAAAAGAGTCTTTGCGTTAGTCTGTGTGTGTTGTTGAACTGATATCTCAAGAACCAATTATTGGATTTTGAGGAAACTTGGTACATAGATGCTCTGGGATAATGCACAGACTTGATTAGTTTTTGGTTGAAATCCATGTGTAATAATCACCTAATTTGCATATTAATTAGCCAATTATAAGCATTTTCACTTGTTTCTCATGTACATAGGAAACTTGGTACATGGATGCTCTGGGATAATGCACAAATTTATACAAAACAACATCGAATTTTCAAGAGAAGTACATACTGTATTATAAGTCACACGTTTACCTGCAAATACTTTAGTGTTACCGTGTATATCAAATGAATACTTTAAGATTTATCTAAGTTGTTTTATAACAACAACTAAAACAAGGAAATGAAATGACGAATGAAGATGGCGCATTCCAACAAAAATACCGCGCATATAAAGGGGTATAGTTGCCATTTCTTTGTGTTGTGATGTTCTTAACGATATTTGTTATTACCGGTATACACAGGAACATGAGCAGCTCGCCAGGGGCCCGAAGATACTGGAGGTGACTCTAGAGTCCTTGATTTTCACATCTGTAAACTCACTCATTTATCTCAATGCTCAGCATTCGACGAACTAATGTACTAACGCTCAAACTGTTGTTAACAAGTCTGAAGTTAATAGTGGGTCATCACTAACTTCAATAATCATTTATTTGAATTTAGTGTATTTCATTTAGTGTATTTGCTTACCAGTGTTCATTTCAAATGTTTAGGACTCAATAGTGTATTCTACCCATTTGTTTGCGTGTAAAATAGAAATGCAAAAAGTTTGCATG